GTATGGAGTGTATATTAAGTTTTTCATTCCGTTTGTAACACCTCGAGATATACTTAGACCCTACAAAGTATATATATATATTCTTGATCAGCATAAATTATATGTCAGCGAAATAGACCCATAGTTCCTTTTGATGATCTGCATAGAATCACATTCTGATTGATTTATGCATGTCCGTCCGTCCGTCCGTCCGTCTGTTCATGTATTTTTGTAAAAAACGTACAGTTCGCATTTATTGCCCTATCCAGATGAAATTTTACACAAATCATTTGTTTGGCCCAAGGACGAACCCTATTGAAATTGGAGATAATCGGTAAAAATTTAGGTATAGCTCCCATATATATCTTCGTCCGATTTGCTTTTTATTGTGCACCAAACGTGTAATATCAGTCCGAATAATATGGAATTTTGCACATTAGGCCTGAAAATAAGTATGCCTAATTTTATCGAAATCGGTTTAGATATAGCTATAGCTCCCATATATATTGTTCATCCGATTTGTTATTTTTGTCCTCCGCAGCCGTAATATGCACTCTGTAACAACAATATTTGGGGAAATATATCGGCCCCGCCCGACTTTAAGACTTTCTTTACTGGTTTTTTTGTTACGGGAGCTCTACTAAACATCCATAGTGTTGTGGGTATAATATAGTCGGCCCGCCGGTCTTTTCATCTTTCCTTACGGGTTTTAAATTTTCGTTTGTAGATTTTTCTATAGTTGGTTTTTGTAAAGTCTTAAAAACCCTGGATTAAAAAAAAAAACAAGTAAGCAAAGCCTATAGTCGTATGGTTCCGATCATGTGATACCCTACAATATATTCGAAGTCTCCTTATGATATTCACTCATTTATTGGTATATTTTTCCGCGATTTTCTTAGATTTTATCCTTTTCTGGCCAGAGACCATTCCGAATTGAGGGGGGAATTGTGAAAATCGGGCAAGCGGTTCTTGACTTATTTGCAGAATAAATACGATCTCTTTCTTTTACATATATATTGTTCCTATTTCGCCATATATCCGATTTCTTGGCTATCAGCATCGCTTTAATGATCAGGAGTGACCTTTTAATGTATTTGGGATTTGGCTGGGCTTAAAAATATTCGCGGTTTAGTAGAAATTTTCCTATTTTCCTACATAAAAGTTAGAGTCTATTTTACCCGCTAAATATTGTCCGATGGCCGCCCAAATTGGTAGGTTTCTGCCCAGTCCTAAACTCTAACTCCATGTAAATTTCAGCGTCGTTTGGTTCATAATTGCTAAATATTTAGGGGTTGAAATGGACCAAAAACAGAAAAATTTCCTGAATTTGGATTTGCTCTGAAATTCAGGAAATTTTTCTGTTTTTGGTCCATTTCAACCCCTAAATATTTAGCAATCATCTACAAAAACAATAGGGTTCTAATCTAAGCCTATCCCCACTTCCATTTTCAATTTCGTGAGGATCGGGCCATAATTGCGACCTGTAGCTTGATTAGAAATTAACATGGAAAGACGGACGGACGGACATACATAGCTAGAACGACTCGGCTCGGCGAGATAGGAAAATCCATATATACTTTCCTATGTGGGAAACCAATATTTCAAGGTGTTACATAATTTTTGGCCCAATCGAACTTATAATACCCCGAACGCAGTGTTGTACGGTATTAAAAAATTTTAAGACCCCTTTGGAAAAAAATGTTCACAGCAAAGTTCGTTTCCTAAGTCTTTTGTTGTCACTCCTTTACTATGCTCAATTAAAGCATGTCCGGAAAAAAATCGAATACAATAATGAATAAATTTTTGTCATGATGTCGTAGCACAACAACAACAACAATAACAATAAAATCAACAACCACCAACATCATCATAATCATGTAAATCAATAATAACAATTATTATAATGATATCCAAATTGTGTCTGCTCTATGTTCGCTGCTGCTGCTCGTGCAGCTGTTTTGTTATTATAATTTACAAAAAAAGAAGAAGAATCGGAGAGACAAAAGAAGCAAAAAAAAAAAAAAACTATATCTAATGAAGATCCGCCTTAATTCTAATTGTTTTTGCATTTAACAACAAATGAAGCATAATAAATGCAAAACACCAGCAAGCAGAACAATCCGCAGCAACAGCCAGAACACCAGCAAGCAGGCAAAGGAAACATGTTACCCACAAAAATTTATTGCCACAGCAGTGCATTACCACCCCACCACCATCACCATCATCACCCTAACATCAAGATAATTAACAAGTCAAGGTCGTTGTTATGACTTTCAATTTGAGGCTGCAACACGGCAAATGAATGAATGAACGAATGAATATGAAGTCACAGCTCGAAACAAAAACATTTTAAGAAGAACATCTGCAATCTCGGAAAAAATTGGAAGAGGTAACAAGTAAATAAAGAACAAAACGAAACGAAACGAAACTAAACAGATAATGTGCTAAAGTTTGTGAAAAAATCAGAATCATTAGGAGCAAAATTGCATTGTTCACAAGCTAAGACTGAACAGAACGATGAGCAGGCCAAAAGTCATTTAGACAAAAACAAACAACAACAGGAAAATTAGTATATATTTTGTTGTAGGGGAAGGGGAAGGTGGTGGAGGGGGAGATATACAACATTTGTGAAAATCTTAAGTAAATTAGATTAGAAAACCAAGTTAAATGGAGCTTTTAGCAGGTACTTGCTTAGTGGGATTTCCTTGAAAGTCAATTTGCCATTTTGTTCAGCAAACACCTGGCCATGGTTAGCACTTGAGATAGAAAATTGAAAAATTTCCAGGAAATAAAAAAATGCTAAAGAAAAGTTCGAGAGCAAAGGATGACCAGAGTTTCTAACTTGAATTAAAACAATTACAACCAGTAAAGAAAGTCCTAAAGTCGGGCGAGACCGACTTTTTGATACCCTACACCACTTTGCTAATTTAGTAGAGCTCCACATAACAATTAAACTTTTCTATGGGAGAATTCAATCACACACGCTATGATTATAATTATAATTTAAAGTTCAAAGGACTAAATATGCCGAATCATTTGTATCTTTTAAATTCGGACTTGTATTGCCCATTTGGTGCTAAATTAATTTAAAATCGGATAAAGATATATAACCATATATATGGGAGCTATAGCTATATCTGAACCGATTTCGATCATTCGTGGCATACTTATTTTCAGGCCTAATTTGATATATTTCCCTGAATATCGTTGTTACGGAGTGAATATTTCGGCTGTGGGTAACAAATACTACAAATCGGATGAACAATATATATAGGAGCTATAGCTATATCTGAACCGATCTTCACCAAATTTGACATACTAGCTTCTAGACTCAATTCGGTCGTAAATACCAAATTTCATCCCATTTGGACAAATATTAGACATTTGGTGCACAATAAAAGGTAAATCGGACGAAGTTATATATGGGAGCTATATCCAAATCTGAACCGATATCGATAAAATTTAGCAAAGGTATTTCTGAGCTGTATTTGATATATTTCCTCAAATATTGTTCTTACAGTGTGCATTTTACGGCTGCGAAGGACAAAAATAAATAATCGGATGAACAATATATATGGGAGGTATAGCTATATCTGAAGCGATTTCGATCAAATTTGGCATACTTATTTTTAGGCCTAATCTGGTTGTATGTGCAAAATTCTATACTATTCGGACTGATATTACACGTTTGGTGCACAATAAAAGTCAAATCGGACGAAGATATATATGGGAGCTATATCTAAATTTTTACCGATTATCTCCAATTTCAATAGGGTTCGTCCTTGGGCCAAACAAATGATATGTGCAAAATTGCATCTCAATCGGATAATAAATGCGACCTGCATTTTGTTCACAAGAACACATGGACAGACGGACAAACGGACGGACGGACGGACGGACTGACATGCATAAATCAACTCAGAAAGTGATTCTATGGAGATCCTCAAAAGTAACTATGGGTCTATCTCGCTTTCTTCTTCATGTTACAAACAAATCCACAAAGACATAATACCCTTACCACTATGTGGTGTAGGGTATAAAAAGCTGTAAGTTCAGCTGGGCCGAACTTTGAATACCCCCCACACCATTTGGTAAAAATTTTGCAATTTTCAATAAATTTAAATTCAATAAAAATTCTGTTAAAATCTTAAAAATAGCGAATGTAGCCGTATTTTAGGGTCTATACGACGACATGTATCTGCATGCGCTACTTTTGTCATAAGCCTGCACAGACAATTTTCTGGCATAGGATGTAGTATTCATAACGAACTTCAAATACAAAATTTGAAATAATTCCGGTAAATAATGGCGCTAATATCATCAAAATACCGAATATTTGGAGGTACCGTTATATGGAGCTGTACGAAGTCGTGGACCTGCACGGACAATTTTCTGTCACAGTCTGTAATTTCCCTTACGAACTTCAAATGCGAAATTTGAAACAATTCCGGTGAATAATGACGCTAAAACTATCAAAATACCGAATATTGGGAGGTACCGTTATTTGGGCGCTATACGAAGACGTGGTCCTGTACAGAAAATTGTCTGTCATAGCCTCTAGTATCCATTACGAACTTCAAATACCAAATTTGAAACAATTCCGGTTAATAATGTCGCTAAAATCATCAAAATACCGAATATCGGGAGGTACCGTTATTGGGGGCTATACCAAAACGTGGACCTACATAGCCCATTTTCAATACCAAAAGTCCTGCAGACATAACATACATTTGGGCAAAATTTTATCAATATACTTCAATATACCCTCCATACAATGGTGGAGGGTATAAAAAGGCATGTTGTTGAGCCATGAATGACTCTTAAACATATGTTTAGAAAGATACAAGTTCTGCTCTATTGACGCTTGTCAAAAGCCAAATTTTTGGCTCCTTTTATTCCTTCTTTCATTCAGGGCTCTTTCAGCTAACCTCATAAAAGTATATTGTTTTCAATTTTTTTTTATTTTTAATTTTATATTTAATTAATACATCTTCCATTTCTCTTTTTTTATTTGTTTGCAGCTTTTTTAACTCCGCTCCGCCCATATCAATGATGAATCAGGACAATCCATATGCGGTAAGTGTTACAGATATAAAATCCAAAAAAAAAAAAAAAAAAACAAAAAAAATTGTCACAAATTCTTTGGGAGTGACAAGGCTCGCCGAAGCGAAATTTATGACTGCACCAATGATTTTTATTGGTGAACCCGAAAAACATCAAAAAAATATATATGTCGAATATTATTGTTATTATTTTTGTTGTTGTTGTTGATTTTTGGTGATTTTTAAGCGCAAGCCATTATAATAAAAATGCCAAAGCAAAGCTGATAAATATTTTATAATTTTCAAGAAAGTCAAATAAAATTTATATCTCTTGGTGGTGTATGTGTTGACAAATTTTTTTCACAGTATCGGTTTTTAGAGATCTATCCCTGGTGGAGTGTTGTTGCCTTTTCGTTATAGTTGTTGTTGTATCTGGTGCTAAATTTAACGAGCTGAACAAATGATCAAATAAAGACAAGCCATAAAAACGAACTGAATTGTATTCGTATTTAACGACTTTAACATTTTTGTGTGTTGATAATTAAAGCCTCCGCTTGCTCCCCTCCCCCCTTAACCACTTGAGACACACACAGCCATTGAAAGCAAAGTTATGGCCCACTGGAAGCTTTCCTATGCCAGTGTTGGTGTTTGGGGTGTTACTATTTGGTCAAGTGTTCGGTCTCTAAAGTTGTGGCGGAAAAATATCGTTCATCTATCGGGCATGTGACGTACGACAAGGTAGAGGGGGGTGTCTGGTTTAAAAAAAAATACTAATTTACATACGAAGTACTTAAAAGCCAAAGCTTTAATTTAATTAAAAATTCATAATTCATATTTTATGATATCATATCTTTTAATAATTTTTTTTTCGAAGCTAAAGATTATTGGCAAACACTTTGTTGGAGTCGTAGGAAATAAAAAAAATATATATAATAATCGATGGATGTGATTTTAATTTCATATAAGTTATATGAATATAGGGTGTTGCACGGAGGGGTGGTGGAAAGAAAAAAATAAAAAAATCCATGCCTTAAAATATTTTGAAAAATTATTTATAAATCCAAATTCAGAGCCCTTTAAATATTTTTTAAAAATTATTTTAAAAATCTACGTTTAGAGGCTCTTAATATTTGTTGCCAAAATATTTTAAAAATCCACGTTTAAAAGCTTTTAAATATTTTTCTAAAATTATTTTAAAATATTTTTGAAATTTTATTTATTTATTTTTGAATATTTTTGAAATTTTATTTATTTATTTTTGAATATTTTTGAAAAATTATATTAAAAATCCACGTTTAAAAGCTTTTAAATATTTTTCTAAAATTGTTTTAAAATATTTTTGAAAATTTATATTTTTATTTTTAAAGAATATTTAAAAATCCGCGTTTAGAGGCTTTTAAATATTTTGGAAAAAATATTTAAAAATCCACGTTTAGAGGCTTTTAAATATTTTAGAAAAAATATTTAAAAATCCAGATTTTAGGGGCCTTTAAAATGTTTTAAAAATTTATTTAAAAATGCACGTTTAAAGGCATTGAAATATTTTTTAAAAATTATTTAAAAAAATCCCTACTTAGAGGCCTCTAAATAGTTTTGAAAAGTTATTTTAAAAATCCAAGTTTAGAGGCCTTTAAATATTTTTGAAAAATTATTTTAAAAAATCTACGTCTGGAGGCCTTTAAATAATTTAAAAAATTATTTAAAAAATCCAGGTTGAAAGACTTTAAAATATTTTTCAAAAATTATTTAAAAATGCACGTTTAAAGGCATTGAAATATTTTTCAAAAATTATTTAAAAAATCCCTACTTAGAGGCCTCTAAATAGTTTTGAAAAGTTATTTTAAAAATCCAAGTTTAGAGGCCTTTAAATATTTTTGAAAAATTATTTTAAAAAATCTACGTCTAGAGGCCTTTAAATAATTTAAAAAATTATTTAAAAAATCCAGGTTTAAAGACTTTAAAATATTTTTCAAAAATTATTTAAAAAATCCACGTTTATAGGCCTTTAAATGCTTATCAAAAATTATTTAAAAAATCCACGTTTAGAAGCCTCTAAATATTTATGAAAAATTATTAAAAAACACATTTAGAGCCCTTTAAACATTTTTCAAAAATTATTTAAAAAATCTATGTTTAGAGGTCTTTGAATATTTTTGAAAATTTATTAAAAAAATCTAAGTTTTGAGGCCTTAAATATTTTTGAAAAATTATTTTAAAATTTCACGAATAGGGGCCTTTAAATATTTTTGAAAGATTATTGAAAAAATGCACGTTTAGACGACTTGAAATATTTTAGAAAAATTACTAAAAAATCCACTTTCAGAAATCTTTAAATTTTTTTGAAAAATAATTTTTAAAATCCAAGGTTATAGGCCTTTAAATATTTTTTTTATTTAAAAACCCACGTTTTGGGCCTTTAAATATTTTTGAAAAATTATTGGAAAAATCCACGTTAAAAAGCTTTTAAATAAAAATGATTGAAAAATCCCCGCTTAAAGACCTTTAAATATTTTTATTTATTTTTAAGTATCTTCGAAATAATTTTAAGAAATAAAATCCATTCTGAACCAATTTTTGTTAAGATTTTTAAAACTTATGCTTCTATCTGACATCAAATCAATTTTTTTACCCCTTTATACAAAACCCTGCATTTACCTTTTTAATAACAAATACCAATAAATTACATTGAATGCCCACTATCTGGGCTTCTTCTGCATGACAAGCAATTTTGCTCTGGTTTCAGGGCCCCCAAAGACCAAAAAAATACCAATCTAAATGTAAATTTTCCAACACATGGTTTGTTTATTGCGATCAACACTTATGGACTAAACGTTTAGCTCTCAGGGCGACCTAACTTATTTCAAAGTATGAATTTAAATTGATAATAAGCTTATGAAACAACATGTCAACAAAGAGTTTAACATGTAAACTAGCAACAAATTGGGGTATTTTGCTACCAAAATTCCCTAAACTATTTTCGAGCCGTACCGAAAACCCCTTACCCCAACCTGATATTCAATGCGTAAATATGCTTTCGAGCATCATGATTCACGCGGCCCGTTTTAAAATAACTTTTTGCCAAAACACCAACTGACCGCCCGTTTTCTGTTAACGACATTCAAAATCGGATTAACTTCATAAAATATAAGCTTAACAAAGAAATAGAACTTGATAATATGCAGATGTTGACATTATTTCATTCGATTGCTTTGGACGTACAAAGCAAAACACAAACACCTAATGAGTTTCAAATTCAAGGAAGAAACAAAACACAAATGGCCATTGGCATCGTAAAATTTCAGATCAATTTGTTTTTAAATATCCATTTATTTGTATTTTATGTTTATGTGAAAACAAATAATTTCGAAACAGCAAAAAAAAAAAAAAAAAAAACAATAAAAGAAATAAAACACAGGTAGTAGTACAGGTTAGAGGATGACAAAATATGGGGGTTGGGGTTTTTAAAAGTGTTTAAATACTAACGGAAAATAATTAAAGAAAGGGATATAAAAAATATTGAAAAATTGGCATTTAGATGTTTTAAAATATTAGGGTCTTGAACAATTTTTGAAAATGTATTTAAAAATCCACGTTTTTTTGGTCTTGAAATATTTTTGAAAATACATTTAAAAATCCACGTTTTATTGGTCTTTAAATATTTTTGAAAATTTATTTAAAAAATCAACGATTAGAGACCTTTAAATATTTTTGAAAAATTATTTAAAAAATCCACGTTTATTGGCCTTTTAATATTTTTGAAAAATTATTTAAAAAATCCACGTTTATTGGCCTTTTAATATTTTTGAAAAATTATTTAGAAAATCCACGTTTATTGTCCTTTTTATATTTTTGAAAAATTATTTATAAAATCCACGTTTATTGGTCTTTTTATATTTTTGAAAATTTATTCAAAAAATCCACGTTTATTGGCCTTTATATATTTTTGAAAATTTATTTAAAAAATCCACGTTTATTGGCCTTTTTATGTTTTTGAAAATTTAATTAAAAATCCAAGTTTCTGTGCCTTGAAATGTTTTTAAAAATTTATTTCAAAAATCCACGTTAAATGGCCTTGAAATGTTTTTGAAAATTTATTTAAAAATCCACGTTTCTTGGTCTTGATATATTTTTGGAAATTTATTTAAAAAATCCACGTTTAAAGGCCTTGAAATATTTTTGAAAATTTATTTAAAATTACACGTTTAGAGGCCTTCAAGTTTAAAAATCCAGGTTTAGAGCCCTTCAAATAATTTTGAAAATTTATTTAAAAATCCATGTTTAAGGGCCTTGAAATATTTTTTGGAAAGTTTATTTAAAAATCCACGTTTATTGGCCTTTTTGTATTTTTGAAAATTTATTTAAAAATCCACGTTTATTGGCCTTTTTGTATTTTTGAAAATTTATTTAAAAAATCCACGTTTATTGGCCTTTTTGTATTTTTGAAAAATTATTTGAGAAAACCACGTTTATTAATCTTTTATTTTTTTTTTTTAAATTACGTTTACGGGCCTTGAAATATTTTTGAAATTTATTTGAAAAATCCACGTTAAAGGGCCTTGAAATATTTTTGAAAATTTATTTAAAAATCCCCGTTTAAGGGCCTTGAAATATTTTTGAAAGTTTATTTAAAACTCCACTTTTATTGGCCTTTTTGTATTAAAAAATCGACGTTTATTGGCCTTTTTGTATTTTTGAAAATTTATTAAAAAATCCACATTTATTGGCCTTTTTGTATTTTTGAAAATTTATTAAAAAATCCACGTTTATTGGCCTTTTTGTATTTTTGAAAATTTATTAAAAAATCCACGTTTATTGGCTTTAAAATTTTTTTGAAAATTTATTAAAAAATCCACGTTTATTGGCCTTTTTGTATTTTTGAAAATTTATTAAAAAATCCACGTTTATTGGCCTTTTTTGTATTTTTGAAAATTTATTAAAAAATCCACATTTAGAAATATTTAAATCTTTTTAAAAAATTACTTAATAATCTACGTTTAGAGGCCTTTTAGAAAATCCACATTTAGAGGCCTTTAA